ACAATCTAAAATTTCATTAAACATCATGTTCTGATGGGTAAATTTTAAAGAAAGAAAAAAAAAACCCACAATACGTCTTAAATATTTCTTTTCTCTCCCGGTTTATTTAATTAATAAGATTAGTCTATTCTTTTAAATGAAAACTAACTGCTTTTAATTGTTCTTTTGTTAGATCGTTATTCTTTAAAATTCAACGACGCGGAAGGAAATGGAAATATAATCATGTTAATTATCAATATACACTAGCATACCAAAAATCAACTCAATATTTGCCAAGTGATTATAAAAATATTCCAAAAGTTCGGAAACCAAGAGGGACAGAAAGGCAGAAGGGATAAACGGATAATTTTTCTGTTAAGGAACTAATAAGGCGAATGTTTGTTGAAGAATCTGTCTCAAATACTGGCTGATCACTTAATTTTCGCGAGCTCTTATTTTCAAGATAGGCATTTATTCTTGATGAGGAGGACAAAGAGCTCGGTTCATGTTATGCATAAAATTGCCCTGTATGTATAGCAATTGATTGATTAACACTTGATGTTCTATTTGAAGCATTTAAATAGAGTCTTAGTGCTTTCATTTCCTATAAAAATGTTCTCCTAAAAGTCCAGGTCTTAGAGAACTGACGTTTTGAAATCGTGATGTTCTTGGATTTTAAGGTAAATAGGAATATTTGTGTTCTTTAAAGGAAGAAAAATAATATAAGGGCACTCTCTGATCTAAAAAATAAAATATGTATTTAAATCCTCAGAAACAGTTCTTTCGTTTACTATCTGCATATTTTAGATCAGAGGTTTAGCTCTATATTAAATATGGATTAATAGCTTTTAAAAATTGGCTGTTTTTGTAGAATATGAGGAAATTGACGCATTTCCTGACGTCACAATACATTGACTAGCCAGAAAATTACGTCATATTTGATAGATACGCAATCTATAAAAATCTAAGTTATATTCAATGCATTGTTTACTAAAACTAAGTAGTTTAGTTTTTAAGAAATTCATAGGACTAAAAAAGAAAGCAAAGGTGAACCTTGTTCTTATCACGAATGGCGGTTATTGTTCTATGTAATCCTAAGGAATTAAAGGTACTTGGACACAGATTTGAAGTTAATATTTTCTCTATAATATTATGACTGATATATTTTAATAGCATTTCTTAAAAGCAAGTTTTAATAACTTTTAAATGAAATAAGATTTTTAATTAATTTTTTTGTGAAATGCTATAAAAATATATCAGTCGTAATATAAATATTATAGAGAAAATGTTAACTTCAAATCTGTGTCCAAGTACCTTTAAAACAATTATACGCGAAAATTAAACTTTTGCGAGCACACTTTCTCGCGTCATTACGCGAAAAAAGGTTTTCTCGAATAAAAAGTGATTTACAATAGATTTAGACAGGCCCTATAGGGCAGGCTCTATATTTTTCTCGTGCGAAAGAATGTTAAATACATATATACACTGTACATATAATATCATAACAGCAACAGCATTTTTTTTATAATCCTTGTTTAATCAAAAATAATAGTCCATCACGAAGATATGTATTTAGGGGAATAATAAATGAAGGTAAAACAACAAAATGAAAACCTCTTATTTTTAAAACTTATATCCCTTTCTTCATTAAAAAAGCAGAGTCTTCTGCGGCAAAGTTTTCCGAGCACACATAGTTAATACTGCTTTATCAAAATATTTGAAAGATGAAAATGATATGTAATTATAAGCAAAGCAGAGCCAAATCAAAAATGAAAAAAAAAACAGAGGTCCATATCATACTGTAGAACATCACGTGTTGTTAGGGTACTCTCGGCAACTAATATCAAAACATATGATGAACATATATATAAAGACCATCAGGTGGAAAACTGTTATTTTTACACAAAATAAACGGGAGTTTTGTCCCATGTAAATTCGGTTTAAAGACAGTTTCCATGTTGCAAATAAAATTTATTAACTTCAAACATTTATCTTTCTTTGTTTCTGATATCCTAAGATAGCTATATATGACAAGAAAAGATAAACATGTTTGTGCAATATATAAAGAGTGTCTTATTATTTTGTTACTTGCTGTCCCATTGGAGTAAGAACCCAGATGTAATCTATAGTCATCTTCCGCGCCACTGATCCGGAAGTCCGAGTAATACTGGAAGTAATGGTGTCCATTTGTATGTTGTAATTTAACGTAAAGGGAAGATGAGTTGAGCGTTAAAGCATGTAATGCATCATTTCCTAAATTGACAAAGAAATTAATGTACTTTCACCAGAAAGAGAGATAATGTAAAAAGCTACATTGAGAATTATCTGTCCATACGGTTTAATTGAAACATGGTATACATACATTTGTATATAGGCCAAAAAAAATTAATCAATAGTTTCCGATGCCAAAAATATTCAGAATTCTATGCGGCGGTAGGTTTTTTTTAAAAGCAGGTTTAACACCTTTTTAAAAGCCATTTATTAAATAAAATGGTAATATCTACCAATCCTTAATTTTTGTTCTCTGAAATTGGTTGTAACATGTACTCAACTTTACATAATGTTACTCCAAAAATTTATCTAAAAGTTAATTATCAATAATAAAATACTGAAAATTTAGAAGAAATGCATAATTTTTCTAATAAAAACTTCTATTTTAGCATTTATGAAAAGGGGAATACCTCAATTTTCTTTTTTAACTTGGACAAATAGAAAATGTTATTTCCCTTTTCAATATGTCAATAAAATTGATCAATGCGGCCGTTTTTGAACTGATGCAGCGGTGCCTGAGAAACTATTGATTTTTTTTTGGCCTAGTATTAAATTTGAATATACCTAACGCTTTATTAAAAATAATCGCAGGTTGTCCATTTCAAACTTTTTTTTACGAAAAAAAGGCATTCTATAGCTAAGAGCATTTCCTTTATGGGTCCGGGATCCTCTTTTCTATTAAGGATGTTATTTTATTATATCCTGTTTATAAAAAGGTTTCCACAAATTAATGAGGACATTTCGGTAATAATTTTTTAATGAATTAAATGTCTTGGAAATATTTCGATCTCCCTTAAAAAATGAGACGTCTATGGGTGTCGTTATACAAACAAGCATGCTTTGGTCAAAACAATCATTTAACATTGTTAAAAACAATTATATAAAAAACCACAGAAGTTTCGGTCGAAACCGTCTAGCTCTACTGCTTTGAACTTATAACATGGAAGAGAAAATTACATGTAGCACATGGACTTAAACTTTGCAACAGCAATAAATATTATAATGATCTTTTATTTGTCATTTTTTAAGGAAATTTACACTAAGACTAAATATGTAGTATGGTTTGTCACTAAGAATAATCTATTTAACTAATACAACGGCGAATTTAGATAATGAACAAATTTTGATCAGAAAAGCCCAGGTGAGCTCTTTTCATATAATGTTAGGGCTGAATCTGAAATTATTGTACAATTATTATACCCAGCCAATATTCAGTAGATGCATTTCCAAATCCTTGCTGATATTCTGTCCAGTTCCTTTTAAAAGACACAGATCCATCAATCCCCTTTTGAAAAAACCTAGACAGAAAAATATATTTCTTAACATTTATATATTTTTGATCACCTGTACGATCAATATTTATTTTAAAAATGATCTTTTTAATTTGCTTTATCTTATACTGTTTTTTTTTCAGTTGAAGCATTAACATAACCAAAATTATATTATGGTCAGTTCTTTGAAAAAAAGATCAAGCAATCCTCTTATAAGTATAGTTTTTTTTCTTTTAAATTCCATATTCTTTGACAATCATCTGTATAATTATGATTAACATACACGTACGTGGTTCAAACTTGGATCGAGCTGAACGTATAACGCCCGTTTAAATTTATTTTCTATTTGCCTGGTCCAAATACATGTAATAATTAATCTTAATTCTGTTAAAATTTTTCCTATGCAAAGTTAAGAAGGCAAAAATAATTATCTTTTATAGTCTGAAAATTTCCACGAATAGCAAAGCTTAAACCCGGGGTTTAGAATACAGTTATGGAATGTGTACGAGGGAAATATCAAATTTTATGGTTCCCCGCTGGAGGAAACTATTTCCCGCTGGAGGAAACTATTTCCCGAGGCGGCCTCGGGATCCTCATTGCTAATTCTAATTAACATTGATCATCACAAATATCGTTCGTTATCTGCCTATTTCATGCAATAGTGTTTGAATCTATTAATCATCAGACGACTATCAATTTCACATAAACACTGTCCTTAGTTACCAAATTTACGGAGACAAAGTATAACAATAGAAAATAAGCTTAGATAATTGGAGACAGTAAGGTTTTTCCTAGTTAAGTGTATGCCTCAAGTTTTATCAATAATAATCATGTTGAGTAGATTCATTTATCTACAAATTAATAAAATCGTTGTTTTACATACCGTCCACCCACCTCCCATTGTGACCATTGTGACCATATCACACAGTACTTCTTTATATGTAGAGTTGTTCCACGGATAAATCTTGTAAATACCTGTTCTCTGGTTTCCCTTTTTCAAAATTTCCAGACAGTCCATAACAGAGGCTTCCGAAAAATAACAATATTATAATGAAAAGATAAAAATAAACGAATGCTGAAAATTATCTAAACACTCGCTCTTTCCCATGATGTAAAGTATGGTCGGGAAATGACAAACCCTCTATTTAATATATTGAAGAAGTGAAAGCTATATGTATTAGAAAATCATATCAATATTTTCCGTTTTAGCTTTGACATCCTTAGTAAGTTGAACAATGAAACCAAACATGTTTTAATACAATAATTAATGATAACTGCATATATTTTCAACATTGTACATGTACATTTGTTTGTTGATTCCTGACATTAGTGTCACAGAAATTAGCCTTGAGACTTCTTTCTGTAACCTCATAAATTGCAACAAGTGAAATACCTAGATATCATTCTAGCTTGCTCATGATTTTTGTACAATACAGAAGCATGCTGAAATAAATTACGTACACATGTTACAAAACTGTCCTATCCACTTCTCAGAACATCCACTTTGGCATCTGCCATTGACAGAATCACAAGTGGTCCCATTTTTACAATATCCACAGTTTCTAGCACAGGATTCTCCAAAATATCCACGCGGACATGCTGCAAATCATTTTATTTTGCAATGATAAAAATGGCATACTTGTGCTTGAATTAAAACATTGAACTTACACAAATTTTAGAAAGCTTGTTACAAAATGAAATTCGTACGTGAACTGCATGTTGCCCCAATCCAACCAGGCGAACATCCATTGGGACAGGTTCCGTTTATAAACTCACATGTCATCCCGTCTCTACAATGTCCACAGTCGCTGCCACATCTCATTCCAAATTTACCCGATGTGCAATCTAAAGAAAGAAGATATGTACTTTATTGATCAATGATATATATGTAGTAGAAATTAGAATATTTTACCGTTACTGATGATATAAAATCTCGGAATCGAATTGTTAATGTTAAAAAAATCTAGGCTGTTCATATATAATTATAATAGATATAAATTTGTTTTTTATTGAGTTTAGATATACAAATCTATATGGAAACAGCAATCAATACGGTTAGACATTTAGTAAAATGAGCAAAATAAACGTAGTATTAAACAAGAGGCCCAAGGATCACATCGCTCACCTGAGCACATCGGCTAAGATAAAACACAAAAAATCAGATCAGAATTGAAAAGTTTACTGAGGGTCGGCCATTGTGACCCCAGCCTACCCCCGGGGGTCATGATTTGAACAAACTTAAATCTACACTACCTGAAAATGATTCTACATGAGTATCATCTTTCCTGGCCCAGTGTTCCTTGTGAAGAAGATTTTTTAAAAATAATTCTAAAATGCCATTATTTTTTCACTAATTCACAATTATCCCCCTTGAAAGAGAGCCTGGTCCTTCATTTGAACAAACTTGAATCCCCTTTACCCAAGGATACACTTTGGTAAGTTTGGTTGAAATTGACCCAGTGGTTCTTGAGAAGAAGATGAAAATATGAAACGACGACAGACGACGGACAAATTTTGATCAGAAAAGCTCGCTTGAGCCTTCGTCTCAAGTGAACTCAAAAACTGGTAATTTGGAAAATATCATTTTGAATTGTAAATCAAGAAAGAAATATAAAGGACATACATGAATTAATTATGATTTAGTGCTCTTCTAAAAAGATATATAAGCCAAAGCCGTGTTTGAAAATACGAAACAAAAGGTAAGGCTTAAATTAACAATCGTATATATTTTATTTTTGAGTTATTTCTGCTTGAAAAGACGTACTAGTATTTCTTTATCAATAAACTATTTTATCCTTATTATTCAAAACCTTCACTGAAAATTTTTAGAACGTATTGATTTTCATATGTAAATGGTATATATCATACTTTGTTTGCAGAAACTTCCGGTCCATCCTGCAGAGCAACCATGGGTACAAGTGCCGTCAGTAGAATTACAGGTTTCCCCGTTATTACAATGACCGCAATTAAAGCTACATTTGCTTCCAAACATTCCTGCTGCACACGCTTGAAAATAAATTTAATGCAGAAATTTTATGCTCACAATCAAAAGCAATAAATATTTTAGTGTTACAATTGTAATTGTAATTATAGCGATATATTTTGACAATTAAAATAACCTTGAAAATAAATATTTAGAAAAATATGACTTTGCTTACTACGGGAGGTATACTTTTTAATTTTGACATTTATTACAGTGTATCACATATCAGCTTAAAATTTGTCATATTCATCTCTCATTGTTTTATTTGTATAGAACATAAAATAAGCGTATGATACATTTAAGCAATTGAAAAAAAAGTCTCATGAGAATTAGTTCAGAAATCTCACGTTGAGCACAGTTGCTTCCTGTCCATCCTGCTGTGCACCCGTTTACACATGCGCCACTTACACTATCACAAGTTCTATTTATACAATGCCTACAGCTGGACATACAGGTCCTACCATATTTGCCTGCAGGACAAGCTGTAACGAACACATTTATTATTTCATTTGATGCATAAACAAAGGATTAAATACAGTGAAAACTGTCTAATCTGGATTTTGCTTATTACGGAATCCTGCGCAAAAACGATCTAAAAAGTCCCTTTCTGCAATTTTTTTTTGTTCAGAATGATGTCTATTCTCAAACGTTTTTATCTGGCAATATTTCAAATCTTTTGAGTTCCAATGATACAAAAAAGCGTGTATTTCCATTTCTAAATAAGAGGAATAAATCCTTAAAAGTATACAATTTTCTAAAAATTTACATTTAGTAGATTCTCAGGAAATGGTATACTTTTAAGGATTAATTAAAAGATATTGATATTAATTATAAAAAATGTCTGTTGCATATGTAATATGTATATACTTCCACAAGAAAATGTATTTTTTTTAGATTATTACATGTTATACATGTACATGCACTGCTGTCATTTTGTGAAATGTCTAGACCTATTAATATTTTAATCTCATTTCATAAACTTTGGGAATATGCAATGTTACACATAATCATTAAATGGTACTTGTATTGCATAGTTTTGAACCTCCAATACAAAGAAATAATTTTACAAAGTTATCAATGTTGGCAAAGATAGGTACAGTTGAGTTCTAAAACAGTCTTTTCTTTTGTTTAGAACAAGTCACATGAAAACTTAAATTAAATGAAAACTGAAATTACTATTGGAATGATCACGGATAAATAATAATTCAAATCACTGATCCAGTAAGGTCATTTTTTTTTTAAAAATTCAAACACTAGATCAAAATTATGAAGTCATATATTTCAACTATTTCATCATTTTTGCATAACCATCATATAATACATTTATCACTTGTATATGTTGACTCATTACATAAGAGCATGATCTACTCATTAACATCGAAGCGTGTTATTGACAGAAAATAGAGCTACAAAAATGTAAAAAAAATTATAATATTTGAGACAAAGGTTTGGTGTTAGATTGTAATATAAAGGATAGAGTTTAATCAAAATGGGATTACAATTCAGTTGTCATAAATAATAGTTCTTTAAAACTTAAGTACTTACCAAGCCCTATATTACATAAATCAGAATTACAACACATGGAAGATTTCTGATTAATTGTCCTTTTTCCAAAAGCATCAGTTACTGTCACGCCTACTTCACATTCCTAGATAATGCAAAAAATAATCAAGTTACAATTTCACCTTATAAATAAAAATTAAAGAACACAGTTTATTCTAATTTCATGGCCTCTTTGTTCATCAAGAGTATAAGCAAGATGGTTTACAGGCTATTCCATTTATATACCCATGCAAAAGATTAGTCCAAATCGTTTTAAATTTTGTTTATAATTAGAAGTCCTTTCATATTCTCTTGGCTTGTGGTCCACTTAATTGACTTTACAATAAAGGTTCTCACTATTCCATCCAACTATGAAGATATGATTTGAAGTGTTTGGTAGTTAAGGATGTAGAAATTCAAAATAAGTCATTTTGTCTTCATTTTAGTCATAGCCCATATTTGAACCAAACTGTATCGATATGCACTTTCTAAAAGTTATAATTCACAATATGGTCAGGATATGATCGATAAACTAGTTTATAAGTTATATCATTTAACTTTCAAGATAAGATCATCGAAACTAATGTTAACGTCGCAACACAGTTGCGTCCGACGTAACGTATCTCAACTGGAAAGGGGTAGAGGTATCACTGTTTGTAAGATATGCTTATACTTTCACAAAATGGAAAATGCCTGAAAGTATTTTTTAAAAAGGTAATATATGAATAATATAAATATGGTTTTTAGTCAAATATAATCTTTTGTTTAGGTCACATAATTGTTAAACTTACAGATATAAAGGCCTTTTTAAGGAGAATACTCGAATTAAAAAATACTTTCTGCCATACTGACAAAATTTTAATGCAATTCTTTAATTAAAAGAGAGGATGTATATACAATTTTACTGTTTTCATCAACTCTAAAAGTTGTGGGAAAAAAGACAAGTGTTTTTATCAAATTATTAATATAATTGTTTATATAAGATAGGGAATACCTTAATTATGTCTCTTTAAGACTGAGACCCAGTAATAATGTAAAACATTTCAAGGAATGTCTACTTTAAAATACTTTCCTTCAGGGTACATAGTATTTCTTTAATTTTGTCTTTTTAAACCAAAATGAAGGTCCAAATCGACCAAATTGTTCAACAAAACTACGTACCCAGTTTGAAGAAGAAAGATGTATTTTTTTTCCACATTGGACGATAAAACAATAACAACAACAAACAAAATCAAAACAAAGCAAAAAAAAAAAAAAAAATCACAGCAAAAATCAAGCAAGTTTGACTTTAAGATTTTGTATTATTTGAATTAATATTCAGTCAAAAGAACGAAAAAACTATCGCATTTTTTTTTTCAGTTGATGCAAAAATTTAGTAAACACTCAAGGTACGATAGTGTATTTTGCAATCATTAATCCCCTGGCCTTTCCTGCAGTCACTCATTTTAACGCATATACCTGTCCTTTTTTCAGAATCACGCATATACCGTTTCCAGCAATTACGCATTTTCACGCACTTTAAAAGGTTCATTTTATCTTCAATTTATTACCAAATTCAATCTATTTTATACTAGCTTAAATCTCATTAAATAAAAAAAAGTTTTCTTATTTATAAAATTATATGTCATGATATAATTTACGCTAAACTTTAGAAAATTTGTACTAGGCTATAATGTGATTGCGGGGAAATGGTAACGTCATATTTCTAAAACATGTCATAAAGTGTATGTTGCGCCACAGTTCAGTAAGTTGTAAAGAGTAAAATTGTCAAGGTGGTCTTTAAAAGCAATAATTTTATAGTGTGTCTATAACTATACTTTCCTAGATAGGTACGCAAATAACAATGATATACTGTATACATGTTTATTATCTATAAAACTTTGACATTAAAGGGGCATGGACATGGTTTCAACTAAAATTTTAAAATTCATTTTTCCTTTTTTACTTACATTTAACAAGGGTCCTTCTAATGATTATCAAAATTTTGAACGTCATTTGTCGAGATACAAAACAGATTTAGCGCTCCAAACCTTTGTTATGTAAACAAGGTCCGTGTCATGTTTTTGCTTTCATAGGTTAAGATATATACGAGGGACATTTGATAAATAATGTCATCAGCTCAATGGCATACAGTATTGAAGTTATATGCCATTAAGCTTGACTGTCTCTAATTATTAAATTTTAATGAGTTGATTACAGTTTATGTGACCATTTTTCATCACATAGTTCCATTGTAAGAAGCTGGAAAACAAAGGCTATTCGAGACTCTGCATTTAAAATGAATAGTCGAGAATTGGTAAATAAGAGTGAAATTAAACTCTTCATAAAAGCTTCTGTAAAAACTTTTTAAGAATCCCAAATATATATTACTGTATCCAGGTTTATTTTCGCCCTTTAACACTTGCGGACAATTTTGCCCCGTTTTAAATTCGCCCTCTCAAAGTTATATTTAAGTACTTATACTGTATTATTTGAATTGGCCCCGTTTTAAATTCGCCCAAATGAGGCTAGGGCGAAAGGGGCGAAAATAAAACGGGGACGAAAATTTCCCTGTATACAGTAACTGAAATATGTGAAATTTATAGCAACTAATGTCTGTTTTATACACACATGAGCAGGTGGATTTCAATGAATAAAAATGATATAATGGGCATAAAAATGGGTACTGTCCTTTGCGACAAGAAAATACAACATCCCATGTATATTTGCAAAAATTCAAGAAATTATCACTGATTATGTTTGATTGACTTTAAGACACATAGCAGATTTGATAGACATCATTTTGGGGGTAGTTCACACTGTTTTAAAGAAACGTTTGATGATAAGAAAGTTTAATACTCAATGGTCACCCAGTACTTTGAAAAATGAGTGAAAACGACAGCGTGTAGGAAAAATTAAATAATTATTTTTAAAATGTTTTTTTTTAAAAATGTACTTATTCATACTTGTCTGAAATTTAAACAAATCCTGAAACCCATTTTCCTTTAAACCCTCAAAACAAATTTACAATGAGATACACTTGACAAAACAGCAAAGGCCTGAAAAGAGCAAAGAGTTGCAAGAGCACAAAAACAGTTTTATATGCTATTTTGTTAAATATTAGTGGTCCTGTTGTTCAAATTCGCATTGGGGGAGTATTTCAATTTCTTGAAGAGTCTAGAAAACTTTTTTTTTTGCAAAAAAGCGAAAGGTTTATGAGACAAAGGAGCCAGAATGAGGCATTCATTACATTTAATTTCTTTATGACAGAGTAGAAACGGAGTTCTCTGGGTAAAAAGAAAGTTAATGTTTTGTCACACCAATTATATTGGTCAGAACTTTCAATCTTTGACTTGTTTCATTTCCCAAATTTGAAAAAAAAAAACACCTTTTAGAAAGAAAAAAAATGTACAGGAAATCATAGGATCTGCCATATTCCAGTATATATATATATATATATATATATATATATATATATATATATATATATATATATATATATATATATATATATATATATATATATATTTCACTTCACTGTATTTCACTTCCATTCTCAATGACCGTGTAGTGTAGGGCAGCGTTGTGAGAATTCCATCGGCATCGAAAGCAAGTTTTTAACTTTCCTAGATAGCCGAGCGGTCTAACGCGCTGTTCTGTACTGCTAGGAGACAGATTCCGAAGGTCGAGAGTTCAACCCCGGGCTGGGGCGGAAGTGAGTATCCTTGTAAAAGTGAATTTCTCTGTGCTTTCTATATTAATATTCCTTCACTTAGGGCAGTTATATTAGTTTAAGAGTTGTTGTAATTTGTGCTTTATAAATAAAATTAATTTCCTCACAACATGTATTGGTAACGATCCTCTTAAAAACTAATGTCCAAATAACTGTATTTCACTTCCATTCTCAATGACCGTGTAGCGTAGGGCAGCGTTGTGAGAATTCCATCGGCATGGAAAGCAAGTTTTTAACTTGCCTAGATAGCCGAGCGGTCTAACGCGCTGTTCTGTACTGCTAGGAGACAGATTCCGTAGGTCGAGAGTTCAACCCCGGGCTGGGGCGGAAGTGAGTATCCTTGTAAAAGTGAATTTCTCTGTGCTTTCTATATTAATATTCCTTCACTTAGGGCAGTTATATTAGTTTAAGAGTTGTTGTAATTTGTGCTTTATAAATTAAAATTAATTTCCTCACAACATGTATTGGTAACGATCCTCTAAAAACTTATGTCCAAATAACTTTATATCACTTCCATTCTCGATGACCGTGTAGTGTAGGGCAGCGTTGTGAGAATTCCATCGGCATCGAAAGCAAGTTTTTAAACTTGCCTAGATAGCCGAGAAGTCTAACGCGCTGTTCTGTACTTTATATATATATATATATATATATATATATATATATATATATATATATATATATATATATATATATATATATATATATATATATATATATATATATATATATATAAGGGTCATACTCAAAAATGTGTTCTAAAAACAATTAAAAATTGAATAAAAACATTACGGACATGTTTTTTAATGAAAAGAGACTATTTTAGTTTAATCACAAAGACTAAATCATAGAAAATCATAGAAAAGAGTTTTTTGTTTGTTTTTTTGCGAGCACCGATGACATCATTTATTGAACGTCCCTCGTACATTATTATAACAGTGACTTGATCCGAAGGGTCGTATCACATCAAGTTGACAGGCGCAGATCATCAGATCTAAAAAGACGCCAAGCGTCGAGTTTGATCTGATGATCTGCGCCTGTCAACGAGACGTGATACGGCTCTTTGGATCAAATTACTGTTATAATGATAAATTTATCAAATACCCCTCCTAATAAGCAAAATATAGCAAAATAAAACTTTTAGAGATGAATTGTATCAAATTTATCTTTAAAACGAAGCTTAATTACAAAGGAATTTTTACGCGATAGAAAAATAACGTCATGTTTTTACGACATCAGTTTCAGAGTGTCGTGATACCACAGCGATGTGATCCGGAAAGTCGTGTGATTGCTTAAAATCAACAGTAAAATTGAGTAATACACAATAGGTATATAATAAACTGATATATATTCGTTCAGAGCAAATATTTTCAATTATAAAGAAGTAAATTTTGCTGAATTTAATTTTGTTAAAAATATGTAAACAAAAACAAGGCACGAACTTTTTATGAAGAACTTTAAGTTCTGTATGTCGTTTGTTAATCAACAAATGATGCTTAAATTTTTATTAATCATTAGATAATGCCTTAGGTAAGAATTGTAATAATTAAAATTGGTTAAAAAAATTCAGTTGAAACTGTGCCAATATCCTTTCACAAATATTATTTATGTAAGTGTTGATAGGTTTTTGGATGGATCCGAAGGAACCTTTGTATTCCAGCTGATTATTGGTACATATAAATTTATTTTTGTGGGCCTAAGTAGTAGTATATATCTGTGGGTTAAAGATCATAGTAAATGAATAGGCATCTGAAAGTGTGACGAACATTGCATTCCTGATTTAAGTTTTATCATCAGGAGCATGTTTATATAATTAAATTACATTACTTTTTGCCATAGCCATTTATCTTGACCTAATATACTGTAGACGTACTTTTTTCACGGGGTCTTAATTCCGCGGAATCTCAATTTCTGTTTAATCCGCGTGTAGAAAATTACGCGGATTTCTTAGACTATCTTTATATGCCTTACAATTATATCAAGTCCGCTTGGACAAATTTTGTGACCGCGTACATAGCGTAAATTAATACCACGCGGAAAAAAAGTACTTCTACAGTAATTAAATACATTATCACTTTGTTTTTTCAACCCCATTTTATAAAAATTTATCTATTTGACAAATATTCAAAATATATAAGAAACATTTTTTTCGAGCAAATTTTTAAGTTGTGTTTATCACATCCACTTACATTATGGAGTAAACATGATGACACATAGAACTTGTCTCCGAACTCCTCCTCTTCGTGGAGATGACAGACCTTTTACAAAGAGGTATTAATTAAAAGGAGTTTTATAAGAAATGATAAGATATACCTATATCTGAAAAAAATCAAATAGTTTCATCAAAGGCTCAATGGAATTGTATTTATCAATTCAGCTTGGATTGTCATAAAGATCAATTCCAAATTCTTCCAATTACGTTTATTATGAAATACAGTAAATAAAGAGTTTAAAACACTAAATCATTTCTTCCTAAGGTTAAAATCTTGTCTAAGTCTATTTCTGCTATAGAAAATCAGTGAGTTTTTAAGATTAAGTATTTATTAAAAAATAGTAAACGAAGGCCTCCGTTTGGACAATGAAAACAGTTCCTCTGTTGTTTGTTTACAAATGAGCCCTAAATGTGATTAAAAATATAATTAAGTTATGGGTACCTGATCATACTCGCAAACCTTGACGTAACGACAAAGCTCTGGGTTGGTGCTTTGCTTGCAGTTAAAACACAAAGGTCCACGTTGAATAGGAAATCCTTAAAACAAATAAAACAAATCCAAATTGATCTCGTTATAATTCTTTAGATGATTTTTTGTTTGTTGTTTGTTTTCTTTAATACCTATATTATATCAATATTGCATGTATTTGAGTGTAACATTGAAAATTTTGACCCCAAGAAAACCATTGTTAACTGGACTTTAATTTGCAAAAAGATGTCTCGTCCAATTTGAACTCATTTTAAAACTTTTATGACTATTTTTATCAATATACCTGTAGACCGACAACCTTGAACATTACAGGCATCAGATTTGCAGCAGTGTACACATTGGGGATTTTCACTTCCGGTCAAATGAGACAACTGACGTTTTCTGGCTTTCATTTGATGGTCATGGCAAATCTATATATAGTCAACAAAATATTATACATTTTTGTAAATGTTTACATCAATTTGCTGTACTGAACATTATTGAAGTCGACCAAACTGTTATACTGAACTGTTATATTTTGATGTTCTACTGAACATCACTTAAAGACAAATCATGATAAGCAATGCTATACTGAGCATTTAAGATTTTATAAGATGATGCTGTACTGAACATCATTCAACATTTTCAAGTTGATGAAACTGTTATACTGAACAGTTGTACATCAACGTTTTACTGAACATCACTAAAAGAAAATCATGATAAGCAGCAAACATTGTGTGGTAACAGGTATATACAGTATAATTTGTCCAAACCGGCTACCGCCGGTTCCATAAAATTTGGCCGGTTTAGACAGAATCCGGAGTGCAGGAAAAATGCAGGAAAATATCAATATTTCGAAAATTTCGTTGTTTATCATATACATATTATAAATAAAATTAAATGATGAAGTCAATCAATATTTTTGAGTCTAGAAATTATAAAATAGTCTCACATGACTTACTGTATTTTCTTATTTGTTCACAAATTTTGAAAGTCGGGTGAAATGTTATGGTACGTCAATCAAAATATACAGGCACGCATAATATGCCTACTACATGTATGTATCAAGCGGATTGGGTTTTTCTTGTCAAAGACCTCATTCAATGTATTAACAGTAATGCACAATTATTTAAAACGATATGCTAATTATAAGATTGAACATTTAATTTTTATGTAAAAAATTACGTCTTCCCCCACAGTGTTATGGCGCCATTTTGTAATGCGTTCGATTTTCGATCCCGATTCATATTTTGATTTGTAAATCGCGTACATACATATTTTTTTGTTTATGCTATAATGTGGTAAAAGGAGTTAAAAAAATTTTTTTAATTGTAATTTAATAATATAATACATTTTTCAAGTGGGCTGTGTCACCGCCACATTTCACTGAGTTCGTCTCATGGCACTAATCATGCACTAGGTAATGTAAACACGGATTATCACATCCACCGCGAAAGGTGTTAATTGCTTTGAAGTAACTCAGGTGTGGCCGGATTAGAGGGAATAATTACCCTTAATTATGAGCAGTTGGGACCAGTATGGCCGTTCGAAATATAGAATAGACAGTATGCCGGACTATACAGAATTTCTTTAAATGAATTTGTTAAAGAAGTGTAAGGGACTAAAATTTAAAGACGGAATGGACAAAAGTCCGGAGTACTCAGAGTCCGGATTAGACAAATTTTACTGTATATCAAAAACAATTATATGACATAAAATTTTCTTGCACCATTTAGCCTGTATTTATAATAGTTTGCAGCTAATACAAAATGACATAAGAATTCAGGATTATTAGGCTGCTCTAATTATGTAAATACATACAAACAATTCATGGTTTTGTTGTTGTAACCATAAACGTAATACTGGCCTTAATTGACCGGAATGCACAATCACTGCATTCTTGATACTTTTCCAATACTTATACATGGGCGAAGGGGGATCCTCGGGCTTCAAATGCTTCAGAGGGGGGTTGTTGAGGTGAACGCCGTCCCTTGCTAAATGTGACAGGTTTTGCCAAAACCCTCTGTGTCTCCCCCAAAAAAAATTATCTCCTGTGACTGAGTCTTTTGTATAAGGAGGCGGTTAATTTCGAAAACAGAGTCGTTGTAACCCGACCCATTCACAGATGGGTCTCTCCTAAGCAGCTGACCAGTTATTACTCGCTTTGAGTCAAGACCATGAATCAGGTACTTGGAAAAGGAGATAATATATGTAACAATCTTCTCATTGGGTAAATAACCAATGTTATTGCCGCCTATTTCTAAGAAATAGATCTCGGGAGTTCCGGGAATTCTACTCATCATATGTCGAAGGCCTCATGTACTTAGCCCGCCTTTAGAGCACACAGATATTTAGTAATTTTCAGAATCTAACTTCAGGTTCTTCAAATCTGGATAAAAGTTCATAAACTCCATGAGTCTGTGTATGTAAGAATGTCCCGGGAGACAGATGTGCATTTCTACAGAATGAGAATAGGGATCCATCCCTGCCATGCTTTAAGCAAATGGCCGATGCGGTTTACATAAACACAAGAAAATTAAACACATCTAAAGCGTACTTGTCTTGAATATCCGTTAATATAGTTTCTTAAGTGTTCCTAGCACAAGAAATTTAAACAATTACAAAGCTTATGTGTCTCGAATATCTGTAAATATCTAGATGTGTTTTTAATTTTCCACCGCACTATACAAGCTACAAGAAAATGGCGCAATGAAAACAATGGTTTTGATTGGCTAAAAAAATCCGTAAATATCCGGCGGTGTAGAATTTACCAAATTTCTCATAGCGGCATAAATTGAATTATCTGTGATAATTATTGTTTTTTAAATGTTTACATCAATTTGCTGTAATAAATTTCTATAATTATTTGGTCTCTTCATTGTGAAATAAATTATGTTAATCCTTAAATTCTACGTTCAAAATATTTTAAGAAATTAATGCACTCACCCGTTCTGTGTAGCATCCCATATTGTAAAGCTGTTCTCCATTGATTGTCCTAAATTGTTCTATGTAGCATACCTTTTAATTAGAAACAGCCATGAACCACAATAATTGCTTGAAAAGTAGTTCATCAAAAAAATGTTGTGATCGATATCATTTTAACTTAAAGAATTAGTTTGGTTCTTCATCATTATATTCAGTGGAGAATTTTAAAATTATACAGTGTAAGTCCAAAAGAAAATCTATCCATTCCGAGTTGGTTCGTTGAAAGTTTAAAACTTGGAAAACTTAACAAACAACAATCTACCAATACATCTTCAAAGATGATTCATAAACAGGCGAAAAATAATAGGTTGCAATATCTGTATAGTTTAAATCCTATCTCAATGTACCGTTTTCAGCTAGGTCTAAATAATGTTGCTATCACAGACTTCAATTTGGGTGTAAACAGAAAAGGATTTAATTTTTCTAATTTTATCACAAGGAAAAGTAACAAACAGTCATTTTAAATGCTTACGTCACCAGCAGGACATTTTCTGATGAGATGACAGTGGATGGGTGATACAGTATCCGTACAGGACAAACAGTGTAAGGATTCTAAAAGTAAAACCTTATTACGAATTATATACAGTTATTTATCCTTATTATATTTAAAAAAAAAGACATACACTTTAAAAAAAAGGGGAATATCCTATCTTTTGTCATGAGAATACTTATATAAATACATATATAAAAAAATTTCAAATTCCTTATATCTATTTTGAAAATAAAGTTTATATACATTTCAAGAAGGTTAAATATATACGTTTATTAAAAGACAAAACGACAAAAATTAGATACATTGACATAAAATATCTTGTAGTCTCTTATCATTTCTATACCTTTGACGCAATGACAGTGTAAAATGAAATGTGGTCTATTTGGATATTCAAGCGATTGGTTTTGTTAGTATTGATTTCAACAAAAGGTTGAAACCGAAAATATTGAATTGTAATTTTCTTTGAAGTAGAAATATAAAGGGAAGTGTGATTAACCAAAACATGGCGTGGAAATAATACATGTATATGACTGACCTCAATAAATGAAATAATACAAATGACATATGTTGCAATTATTTGCAAAAAGTAAAGATTCATGTAGCCTATATCCTTTTGTATTACAAAATAATAGGCTCTGATGTCGGAATTGGGGTGTCATAGTTGAGCGATTGTGAGACTGAACACGTACATTTGCACATGGATTTTAACTGAAATTCTGGTGTTTCTGAGAGGGTGGTATTGCATATTAATTCTATGACTATTACTTATAAATTATAAAATAGGTTTATGCTGACTGCAATATAAGGTTTTCCCCATTCTTTCACATTTCATTTCAATTTTTGTTTTTAAATTAAAAATTGCCCGAAAGGTGTCTTTCAAGAATAAGTCATTCAGCAAGTCGCGATCAAACAATTTCTGGATAAAAACTTGTGATATTGTAATGTAATGTAAGATGTGAAATATGTGTTACCTGCGGTACACCACTGAATGTAAATGTAAATAAGGACGATTGACGCTGAAAATTAAACGAAAAAGGTTATGTTCTGTAATTATTTATGTTATATTTATTATTCATAATATGTTAATTATTTTCAGATACAAAAGAATATCTCTAATCGCTACTTATAAAGTTTACAGCAATTTCCAATGAAAAACGAAAAAAATTGGTCATTATACACAAAGAGAGTTTAATTCACCTAAAATATATATTACTACATGTATATTCTAAGACGCATTTCCAGAGAATCTTCAGATTTAAGTATAGGACATATGTTAGTCCGAAATAGTTACATATATAATTCATATAAGTTAAAAAGAAAGTAAATGTGTCATTATAAAATTAATAAAATTTAATGATTAATGAATATACATGTAAATGTATTCAGCACCTTTGAAGAGATGGTCCATCGTCGTGGTCCTCCAAAGTTTAAAATTCGTACATTCACCTCATGGCCAACAGGTCGTTTATCTTTTATACGTTTCTTATCATTTTTGTCAGTCAATTATAGCACAAGCACTATTTGAGGTCATTGGTTTGAATAGATGGGGCACTCCGTCAACAGTGTAATGGCAGAACAAGGTATGGTTTTTTATTCAAATCTGGCCTTGTTGTTTTCTAAAATATTGAACTGATGTTAAAATAAAAAATCATCCTTTCTGAATTATTGAAAAATTTTGCAATAAAACCAAACCAATCCTTTTTCGATATGACCTTCCAAATGATAATTGTGATGAAGTAGGCTACTGCTACTGCTGTAGACACTATTTTCCAACTGGAGATTGTAATGCTTTTTTACATGAATTTCAGAGATGTATAAAATCAATGATGTTGTTATATGTCCTAAATGGTCTTCCTATATTGTATGTTCTTTAATGATTTATCATATTCATCTACTCAACTCATATTGCAGCAATTTCAAAATTTTTTAAGAAAATGAAATTTAAGGGCACAATAAGGACCAAACCGGTCCTTCTTTCGCCGAGGATCGATAGGCAAGAGAAGGTGTACTTCAATTTTGTAGACTGAGTCCAAATCGTTCAGAGAAATCAACATATCTTTTTAAAATTTTTACTGGAAATAATGTGTTGTTGCTTTAATTATAAACAAAATTTTAACATGACTTTTTAAAATCACTACAAGCTGCTCATCTTCGGCAACAGAATAAAGAACAGACGAAATATTAATTTACCAGTCATATACATGTAATGAATAGACTAGACGAAAACGTTCAGTTTTAGAAAAAATACTCAACCGTACAATTGCAAATTTGTTTGAGAAAATCATGTGTCCAAAGCGACGAAATACATGGAAATAACCAAGATAACCAACAACTGAAAAGTCCAATATACAGTCAAGCAAAACAAATCAGAAGCATAACAAACACGGACCTCTAAACTATTAAAGGTGGGATCAGGTACCATGGAGGAGAATGTATGAAAAACATAATATTAATGAAGGACATACAAGTGTTTTACTTTCTGTTTTCAATACATCCAACTGTATAATTTACCTTCAAATTATTTAGTCCTAAAATATCTGCATCAAAGTAAGTGCAGTTATGATAATTTTCTGTTGGATTTGCCTGAAATAAGAGCCGTTTTGTCACAGATTGATACAATTTTTTGAAAGACCACACGAGTAGAAACATACAGTATTTACTTAGTAAGACAGTCCATGATGATCCCCGACTTAGAGCGGATTTCATTTCAATGGGATCACTTAAGTTTAATTCATAAATTAAGCCAAGTTTATAAAAAAACATGAAAACATTTTTCACTTTTACTCTAGACCCGTTCAACAAATATTGTAAAAATAACATAACAGAATAATTTATTTTCTGTATTATATACATTGAACTACTTATGTCTTCTTGTCATCATTTGGGATGATCGGAATTCAGGTCCAGATCGTATTTCACTTGACCAGGGATTGATCCATTTACTGGATCCATAAACTCCATTTAGATAGGCCGAATGGCAATATCCGAACCACCAACCCCCCTCAGTGTAGCCAAAGCACGCCATCGAGGACGAGGCGTGATCCGGGGTCTTGAACGTTTTATCATTGTTACTTGCTCTCAAACTTTCCCCTGCAATCAGGAAAGAGGTAAAAGATTGAAAATGAAGGTAGAAAAACCAGTGCATCATTTTATTGTAAAGGATGTTGAAAAGGTTATTGAAATTGTTAAATAAGGTAAATTATAAAAGTAAAAATATAAATTCGTGCGAATCACATGTTATGTCTAATTTTTATATTTTTATCAACGTAGATATGTATTCAGGAAAATAATCAATGTAGTAAAGTGAACGAATCGTTTTCATCTTATACTTAAACCTGATATCATTTCTTAACCTTGATAATATCATACAGTAAAATTTAGTATACATTGCTTCATATATATTTTTCATTATAACGAAGAGTAAAAGTTTCTGTGGCGAAGTTTTCAAAACAAACATATCTAATACTGCTTTATCAATATATTTTAAAGATAAAAAATGATATGTAATTATTAACAGAACCAAAGCAAGAAGGAAAGAAAAGGAGTACAAATTAAACTATTAGAACAGTACGTATTGTTAGGGCGTCGGTTACCAGGGTACTTTCGGCAACTAATTTCAAAATACATGATGAACATTTATTTGACCATTAGTTGGAAAACTGTTATTTTCACACAAAATGAATGGCAGTTTATTTGAAAGTATAACATGTAGATTTGGCTCAGAGACAGTTTCCATGTTGCAGATTAAAAGTTTTAACTTTATATTGCTAACATTTTTTGCTTCTGATATCCTAAGACTCCCATGACACGAAAAGATTTATATACAAAATATAGAGAGCGTCTTGGTATCTTTTTACTTGCTGTTCCATTGGAATATGATCCCAGGTGTAATTTAAAGTCATCGTCAGCACCACTAATTCGGAAGTCCGAGTAATATCGGAAGTACCGGTGTCCATTTGTGTTTTGTATTTTAACATAAAGAGAGGATGAATTGCGAGTTAGTTCGTGTATTGCAACATTTCCTGAAAAAAAGGTTTAGGAAAATATAAAAGAAAAAAAGAGATCATTAGAAAAAGGAGATATTGTGAGAGAATCGAATCTGAATTTTACCTAACCAATACTCAGTAGACACGTTCCCAAACCCATTCTGATATTCTGTCTAGTTCCTTGCAAAAGAAACAGATCCATCAATCCGCTTTTGAAAAACCTGCAAAGAACAGAAACGTTTCCTTTTTCCGTGCAAGGTCGAATAAACTTTATCGTACATTTTGAACTTTGAACTATTTCATGAATATAAAAAAGGAAGGCATGTGTTCCCTGCTCTTAGCTTCTTTAAAGATGTACCTAAATCTAAGAGTGGTCAGCTATTTATATGCTACTAGCATATACAGTATTTCAAGCCAAAAAAAAAAAATAGCATGATAGTTCATAAATGCACACCAAGATCCACATATAGTATTAGACTGCGATAGAGTCTGTCAGTAAAAAAATGAATAGATCATATTGCTGTCAACAAGAGAAAACATCTACTAGCATACATCTTTTTAAGCTCTAACACGTTATTTAGTGAAACTATTAATACTTCTCACTCTATATATTTTCCCAATGCGATTAAGGTAGAGGTATGTTTCAAACACGTTAAAATGACTAGTACTCATTTTAATATTACGATATCACAGACTAGGTCTACTGTAAAAATCTTAAAAAAGTAAAAAAAAAAAATACATACGGTCCACCCTCCTCCCATTGTGTCCATATCACATAGTACTTCTTTATATGTCGAGTTGTTCCACGGATGGATTTGGTAAATACCCGTTCTTTTGTTTCCAGTGTTGATAATATCTAGGCAGTCCATTGCAAAGGCTTCAAAACAATAAAGATGAAAATGATCTCATTGAAATTTCAGTATATTGACATTGATGTTCCTTATTTAAAAGAAATGTAAAAAAAAATAATAAGTAAGTAAAAATTCAGTTTCTTGAACATTTTTACAGAAGCCAGTTTTAGACATCTTATTTTGAAGGTAGCTGCGCAATTTCTATCGAACAAAATTTCGAAGTGGGAGTTTGAGTTATAACAAAAGGACTAGGACATAATTCAATCAATCAAACAAAAACCAACTACAAAGTATAAACAAACAAGCGCGCCGCAAAGCAAATCATATCTTCGCAAAGAGAGAATAGATCTTTAAAAAAAGGCAGAAATCAAAATTAATTCTCATGTAAATTATATCACTTCCGTTTCTCACTAGAGGAAACTAAAACACACACACACACACACACACACACACCACACACACACACACACACACACACACACACACACACACACACACAAACACACACACACACACACAAACGCGCAACTTAATCCCCTCCAAATCCGTTTCAAAGAGATAATTATGCATACAACTTAATAACTTATTAACTGTATCAACTTACGTACACTCATTACAGAACTTCCCAGTCCAGTTCTCAGAACAGCCACTAGAACATAATCCAGTAACTGTGTCACAGGTTGACCCAATTTTGCATTGTCTACAGGTTTGACTGCAGGAATCTCCGAAAGTTCCCTGAGGACATGCTGCCAAAAAAACATGGCATTATCACAATGTTGCTTTCTCCAATATACATAGCTTTGTTCATAATTCGTCTCATGTATTAAAAACATCTACTAGTAATATTGAAATTAAAAATCCCTTTATTATTTAATTATTGATTTTGAAATTCGTACGTGAACTGCATGTAGCCCCAGACCATCCAGGTGCACATCCATGAGGACAAGTCCCGTTTATAGAATCACACGTCATTCCGTCTTTACAATGTCCACAGTCACTCCCACATCTCATTCCAAATTTACCGGAAGCACATTCTTTTGAAAAAAAATTAGCATCTTTGATTTAAAAGTTTCATTCAATGAGAACAATTCATTTTTCTCAGCAGGTTTATACTGTATAAAATTTTAATTTTCACTTTAAATCACATTCCATTATAGAACTAAGAGTTTGATATCCAAATTTTGACAAACTTCGTTTTTACAACTACCGTAGTAAAAGAATATACACATATTTGTTTTGAGTGTGCCCCAACAAATATAATGAAAAAAAAATGATTACAAGGGTTTAAAAACAGGTAAAGAGCAAAAAAGCAAAAAATGAACGAATCCTTACATTAAAAAAATATGCAGATTTAAAGCTTCATGCAGGGAAAAGAACAATTCAATTCAAATAGATAGGAACTACAAACATAAATTGACAATGAGTCATTTTAATTTTTGACAATTGTTTGTCGTACTGATTAGCAATTTCAGAAATCGCATACCGCAATGTAAGCAAACGTTTGCTGATAAGGGTTCAGGTGAAGAGATACATATTTTATATTGTGACGCATTACTCATGATTTGTCAATAAACAATAATTCATGAAATATAGGGAGATAACGAACAGTATTTAAGTTCAACATTCCATTAAACAATACAAATTTTGGAGCGGGGCAAGCACGGGTCCCTATAAGATAAGAAATGAGATCAGGTGCCATGGAGGATTGAGCATCCACTACCCATCGGTCAAAATAAGGTTTTTTAGAGCATACCTTGTTTGCAGAAAACACCCGTCCATCCGACAGAGCAACCATTCGGACATTTACCGTTGACAATATCACAGGCCCCACCGTCACTGCAATGACCACATAATAGACTGCATTTGTCTCCGAATGTTCCTGCTGAACACTCTTAAAAGAAAAATGACATTATTTCAATTTGAAGTAGAGTTATTATGGATTATCTATTGATTATATTTTGATGAAGAAAGATAATACATGTACTATCTATTAGTTATATTTTGATGAAAAAAGACAAAACATACACAACTTTATTTCAAGATAGAATATTTTTTATATAAGAATCCTTTGCTGTGGAATGGTAAGTTAGTATTCAGTCATTACTCAAAAAATTTAATTATTATTTCATTACATTGTTATAAGATTGTAGATAATTAGGCATTGGAATAAAAAAAATATTAAGAGTTAGAAAATATTAAAATTAATACATATTAGGGGGGGGGGGGGCACAAAGATTCCAAAGCAGTGATTTTAATAATTGCCTGCCCTTCTTTATGTACCAAGCAAGTAAGATGTCGGGAAGATTATTATTAAATCAGAGCTTAAAAGAACAAGGGCGCCGCAAAAAGCATATCTATAAATCAAAGCAGCATTATACATGGATCCCGATGCAAATCACGTCACTTCCGTTTAGTATAGAATTAACTCAACCACAAATAAATTAATCCACAATTGTTTTACTATGTCCCTCCCAGATGTGTTCCGACGGGATAAGAATCAAGAAAAAAAGCACCTGCTTGTCCTTACGCAATAACAAACAAATTTCATATACTCAGTCTGTATAAATATCAAGATAGTGTTTCCAAGCTGCTTTGAGCATAATGTCTGCACACTTTTTCAGTTTTCCATAGGGATGACTGTTTCATTGTTAATTTAAGCAGCGAAGTCTAAACACTGAGGCGTATGTTAAGCAGACGTTGAAAAACTTACCTTTAAATTCGTCCTCAAACGTTTGTCAACGTACTCCCTACATAATTTTGTTCGTTATTGAATTTCAACAACAGATAGGCTAAAGTTTTAAGATGACGATGACATTTAAACAACCAAATATTCTGTATACAATGAATATGATTCTAAATCAAGATGGTAGTAACATTTGAAAAGTAAAAAAGGAAGAATGATTGTACTTGTTCCTTATTTGATGGGTAGTGAATAAGAAGTCTTACGTTGGATACAGTTGCTTCCTGTCCATCCTGCAGTACATCCGTTTGGGCATGCGCCACTCTCACTATCACATGTTCTATTTATACAATGTCCACAGTTAGACATACAGGTTCTGCCATATTTGCCAGCAGGACATGCTGCAAACATGTAGATTGTTTAATTTTGTAAGCCGTCTTCGTTCACATTTATCACAAAGTAAACTGAGTTTTCAATATCAAGTTTAACTCAAAAGTATAAAAATTTTGAAAATCTATCAAATATTAACTCAAATGTAAAATTAACTTATGTGTATATTTTAAATGAACAAGAAAATGCATAATTAACATAACTACTTTATGTATTTTTTTCTTGTCATTTACATATATTTAAATGATTTGAAAATTCATGCCAAGAAATGGTTAAGAATACGAAATGAGAAGGAAATAAAAAAATGTTTATATTTCTATCCATAATTAGCTTAAATAAGACACATTTATAAACATTGTCTTAATTTTCCTTACTTTAGAAGTAAATGGTTATGCAAAATTGTATTTTTGATTAACATTAATTTTCTCCCTTACAAAAATTGACTATATAGTAAACTTTAGTAGATAATTTGATTTAATTGGAAACTTTACTCTAAAACTTTTTTGAAGATTTGGAGCCGTGACATATCATTAATTACATATCAATGTTGTATTCCTTTTAAAAAGAAAATGTGAAAATATACAAGAATATTTCATTTTGATATCAGATTACTTGTAGGATGTTTACAAAATAAAATATATTACATAATAAACAAGAGGCCCATGGTCCACATCGCTCACCTGAGCACTGTGGCTAGGAAAAAGTAGAAATTGGTTTATTATTGAAAAGTTTAAATCCAAAAGTAGTCCCATCACCAATCATGGCTTTGCTATTCTTTAGAAGATGATTTTTAAAGAATTTTTTTTATATATGTCTACGTAAAACTTTGATCAGCCATTTTTGCTCCGCCCTACCCCTGGCGGTCATGATTTGAACAAACATGAATCTACACAACCTGATGTTTCCATATAAATATGATCAATTATGGCTTTGCTATTCTTGAGAAGAAGATTTTTAAAGAATTTTCCTATATATTTCTATGTAAAACTTTGGTCTGCAATTGTGGCCCAGCCCTACCCCCGGGGGTCATGATTAAAACAAACTTAAATCTACACTATCTGAGGATGCTTCCATATAAATATGATCAATTATGGCTTTGCTGTATTCTTGAGAAGAAGATTTTTAAAGAATTTCCTATATATTTCTATGTTAAACTTTGGTTGGCCATTTTGGCCCCGCCCTACCCTCGGCGGTCATGATTTGAACAAAATTGAATCTACACTACCTGAGGATGCTTCCATATAAATGTGATCAATCATGGCTTTGTAATTCTTGAGAAGAAGATTTTTAAAGACTTTTCCAATATGTTTCTATGTAAAACTTTGGTCGGCCATTGTGGCCCCGCCCTACCCCCGGGGGTCATTATTTGAAAAAAAAAATTAATCTACACTACCTGAGGATGTTTCCCCATAAGTTTCATCTTTCCTGGCACAGTGGTTCTTGAGAAGAAGATTTTCAAAACATACCACAAAATTTTCTAAAAACTATGATTTACTTTAGTGAAAGCTTTGATTCACTGTAATTAACTTGAACACTTTCTTTTTTACTTTTTTTTCATCAGATCTCTTAGATTTCTGAAGGATCCCTCTAAACACATTGTACATTACCGGTAACTGCAGCAACAGACAAAAAGTGTATTCTTCATTGCACCTGATCTCTTATCTCTGTTTTTGAGGTCCGTGTTTGCTCTGCTCCAAATTTATATTGTTTAATTTACTTTTGAGCTTGAATACTATTTGCTATCTCCATATATCTGATCTCGAACTATAAAAACTGAATGTGTGCTTTTCAATTATGAAATTGCTGACCTTAAATTTTTTTGATAAAATTGTAAATATATTGGTAAAAGAACCATGGAGCTGATTGATATTTAATATTAAATTCATAGTATATATTTCAACCTACATTCTGTCGCCGACGTGGCGCAGTGGACAGACCGTCTGCTCTAGAGTCGCGAAGTAAGGAATACGCAAGTTTCGAAATTATCTCCCTTGGTGCGCTCTTTCGTTGAGGAGGAGAGTTTCGTTGCTGCGTAAACAGACAGGTGGGACAGATATTTATATATTGGATACAATGCATGCAGCATCATTGATATACTAGTTTATCAACACTTCATGATTGCCAGGATGCACTCGACAACTAGAGAATAACCGAATTAATGTAACGACATCATTATTAAAGCAAAGAAATCGTAACAAAGAAGAAAATATCAGTGGATATGAGACTTTTCAGACTAGGGAAGAGGTATGGACCTCTAGTAAATACGATACACATACATCTGATCATTACACGTCGGCAATCTAAATGATATATTAATTCTTTTTCTTATTATAACTTTAAAAAAACACTTATTGTTTAGAAAATATTTGTACAATAATAAAAAAAGCGGTTACTTTTTATAGAGACTACGACGTTTCTTTCGTTTTCAAGTACCCTTTAATTGAAAGCATATTTGTAAATATGAGTAGTTGAGCTTGATAAAATCATCAAATGCCTCACTGCTTAACATCTATATCTTTCTATAACATTTAATAAAATAAAAAAATTCTAAAAGCCATAAATATCGTCCATTTATTCATGCACGTTTGTATACAGAAACAACCTGTCCCACCTCCATGCTGAAATAGATACTTTTTGTGCCTCTATCACAGGAGAGTTACAATCTCGAAACGCGCGTATTGATCCTACGTCGTGGGCTCCAATCCCATATTGTGGAACGTGGAGACCGGTCCTTCGGATGAGACTGTATAAACGAGGTCCCTGTCGCAGTAGGTGCTTGCTAGCACGGAAAAGATCTCTCACTGCTCAATGGCCCTCAGTGCCGAGTATAAGACAAAATTTGTATCTCTGCATCAGCAAGTGGTGGCGTCTCCATATGAGTGGAAAAACTCTCGAGAGGGACGTTAAACAATACAAAATCAATCAACCTTATAGATCAACTTACATTCTGGAGTAAACATGACGACACATAGAACTTGTCTCCAAACTCCTCTTCTTCGTGCAGATGACAAACCTTTATGCAACATATATTCATAAACATAATGTCTAAAAATTAATTTAAGCTGAGAGATTGTTTAATATGACGTGTTGATAAAAATCCGCAATGAAAACATATTAAGTGACGCCCATTAAATTATAATTTTCCTACAAGGTGAGAGAGTTTGGAGAGGTTTGATTGACTTGTCTCTCAGGATAAGTTAAATAATCGTACAGAACTTTAGAAACATGTACCTGGTCAGACTCGCAAACTTTGACATAGCGACAAAGTTCTGGGTTGGTGCTTTGTTGGCAGTTAAAACACAAAGGTCCACGCTGACTAGGAAACCCTAAAAACAATATATGCATTTAAAAACATTTTAAGATAATCTTTTATTTTATTTTTTAAATTTTGTGAATCATTTCCTATAGAATTAATATCAAGAGAAATCAGTTCAAATACAATACAGTAATTTTAACCTCTCCAAACCGGCCCCCTGTTACACGAAAACAAGAGGCCCATGGGCCACATCGCTCACCTGAGAAACTTTGGCCATGCTGTTCTTTAACAGATCCCCCCTTTGTAATACAAATTGTGACCACGCCCTACGCAAGGGGTCATGATTTTGACAATTTAGAATCTACACTACCCCAAAGTTTCAGCTTTTCTGGCCCAATGGATCTTGAAAAGAAGATTTTTCCATATATATTTCAATGTAAAACTTGGATTCCCTATTGTGGCCCGGCCCTACCCCCGGGGGTCATGATGTGAACAATATAGAATCTACACTACCCCAGGGAGCTTACACATAAGTTTAAGCTTTTCTGGCCCAGTAGTTCTTGAGAAGAAGATTTTTAAAGTTTTTCCAATATATTTCTATGTAAAACTTGGATTCCTTATTGTGGCCCAGCCCTACCGCCGGGGGTCATGATTTGAACAATTTAGAATCTACACTACCCCAGGATGCTTCCACATATGTTTCAGCTTTTCTGGCCCTGTGGTTCTTGAGAAGAAGATGTTTAAATTTTTTCCTATATATTTCTATGTAAAACTTGGCTTTCCTATTGTGGCCCCGCCCTACCTCCGGGGGTCATGATTTGAACAATTCAGAATTTACACTATCCCAGGATGCTTCCACATAAGTTTCAGCTTTTCTGGCCCTGTGGCTCTTGAGAAGAAGATTTTTAAAAGTTTTTTCCTATATATTTCTATGTTAAACTTGGATTCCCTATTGTGGCCCCGCCCTACCCCCGGGGGTCATGATTTGAAAAGTTTAGAATCTGCACTACCCCAGGACGCTTCCACATAAGTTTCAGCTTTTCTGGCCTAGTGGTTCTTGAGAAGATTTTTTAATGACCCTACCCTGTTTTTGTAAATTATTGATTATCTCCCCTTGGAAGGGAACTTGGCCCTTGATTTTAACAATTTAAATTTCCCTTAACCCGAGGATGTTTTGTACCAAGTTTGTTTAAAATTGGCCCAGTGGTTCTTGAGAAGAAGTTGCAAATGTGAAAAGTTTACAGACGGAAGGACGGACGGACAGACAGACAGACAGACGGACGGACGACGGACAACGGGTGATCAGAAAAGCTCACTTGAGCTTTCAGCTCAGGTGCGCTAAAGATAATGTTTTACAAAATAGATGCTCTTGAACTTTTATCTCTTTGAGATAAAAGAATAATCAAACTGCTCTTGAACGTTTATCTGTATGATACAATTATGAAATGTATATTTCATATAAATTATAAAATTTGAACTAAAGGTAAAAGATAATTATGAGAAGAGATTAAGGAAAAAACTGGAAAACATATTTTAACAATATAAATGTATGGTATATAATAGTATATTTACCCGTAGAACCACAACCCTGGGAATTACAAGCATCAGACTTGCAGCAGTGTACACATTGTGGATTGTCATTTCCGGTCAAATGAGATAATTGACGTCTCCTAGCTGCAACCTGGTTGCCATGACATATCTGTATACATAAACAATCACAGTAAAAGTACAATATCGATGTGAAAATCTTCACATTGAGGATAAAATTATTTTGTATTTCGCTAATAACAAAATATACATGTAGACCTTAAGGTTGCAGAACCAAAACTATAATGGCAATCTGGATTTCAGTGCTTAAACTTAGGGGCACTGAGCCATTTTCTAGTTGATATATAATACTATTTGCATAATATATGAAAAAATATTGATAATTAAAAATCTGTTTACATAATAGACTCTTTTTAAATGTGAAAATGTTTTAAAATGCGAAATATAACTGCTTTAGAAACGCAAACGCTATTCTGAATAATTATTATATATCATTATTGCAAAATGTTTTACCCTTTCTGTGTAGCATCCCATGTTGTAGAGCTGTTCGCCATTAATGGTTGTAAATTGTTCCACGAAACATACCTTTTTTAGGACATGCATAAAAACTTTCACAAAGTACAACATTATATTTACACTGTATTACTTTCCTATTCCTACAGAAATAATTATGTGACAATGGCATTGGTAATTGAAATATTTAACAAAACTAATTTATAGAAGATATAGTAGAAACTTTACCTCTTTCTTTGCTTGTTCAAGCTATCTGGCATTACAATTTTCTTATACATTCCTACGAGAGCTTGACTATGTGACATATGACTCTGCTAGCCAGGACGTGATTTCAATTAAAATACTTTAACATTGCACTTCTAAACCCATATAATTATGGCAATGCTTACTTTCAGTTTGATTTTTTCTTTCTTTCTCTCAAAATCATTGCCCCTTACTAAGAATAATATGTCTCAGTTAATTTGATACATAAGAAAATGCTCCAAGGACAAAATTTCTCAAGTGACACAAAGTATTAAAAAACTAAATGATGAAACAAGGATATTTGTTAAAAGTCTTTTCGCTAATTTTATGCTTGATACAACGGCTTTTTTAGATAATATATTCATCATTAAGTTAAATGCTGACTGATGCTTTACATACTAATTGCTAGGTCATTATATACACACTGGTTGTCCACTTACAACTTTTTGCCCACACTATCCAAGGGATAATGATTCGAAGAAATCGACTCCTAACATTGAGGTATATAAGTAGTTTAATTGAGAATGATTTCTCAAAGATGTATATTATTTTGTACATTTTTTACAATACTGCGACCCTACGCCATCCTTTAGTATTTCGTTTATAAGAAAATGTATGGTTTTCTATGTAAGACCAACTTTCATACTAAGCCATTACCCAAACCATTATGATATAAGAGACTATCTGTAATTTTTTACATGACTAATTGGGAAATTTTATTTTTGAAGAAAAAACTCAATTATATGTTAAACATAAATGTATATTTTTTCCTCTTTTTTTATTGTGGCGTTAAACTTTGCTAGAAGGAATTGGCCTTCAATTTTCTTTTGCTAGTTACTCTTCAAATTCGTTTTGTATGACATCCCGTTTTTAAAATAAGCTTATATTCTTACATCACCAGTAGGACATTTTCTGATGAGATGACAGTGGAGAGGTGATACAGTATCCGTGCAGGATAAACAGTGTAAGGATTCTACAACATGAGATAATTTTAAAATAATATATAATGAATAATAAAAGTTAATGAGCCTGAATATTTTAAAATCGTGGAAAAAGCTCCTTTCTTCTGTTTTGATATTTTCTCCTCATTGGCTCTAGAGTACAACCTACTGTATTTTTATATGTGCATATTTTTATAACAATTTAAACGCGATAATCAAACAAGTCCATGTTTATATAGGAAGCCACCCTGTATTTCCCAGTTATAAGAGAGAGCATAGATCAAGGGATGCTTACTCCTCCTTGTACCTGATCCCTAATGTGGTGTTCGCAGGGTAAATGCTTTTTGCCCTTGTTTACTACGGTCGATCAGTGTTCGTTTTTCATATACTTGAATTTTAATATGCTATATATGAAAGTAAAATATAAACGGAGTAACTTGTATATATATGATAAATATATAAACGGGGGTTTTCCGGTCAATCGTGGACAAAGCGTTTTTCTTAAAAATAATGTGAATAATAAGCTAAAATTTTCACCAAATTTTTTTTTTAGCTCACCTGAGCCAAAGGCTCAAGTGAGCTTTTCTGATCACAATTTGTCCGTTGTCTGTCGTCGTTGTCGTTGTAGTCGTCGTTGTCGTCGTCGTTGTTGTTGTTGTAAACTTTTCACCTTCTCAAGAACCACTGGGCCAATTTCAACCAAACTTGCCATAAAGTATCCTTAGGTTAAGGGGATTCAGGTTTGTTCAAATGAGGGGCCACGCCCTTTTCCAAGGGGAGATAACTATGAATTAGAGAAAAATTAATGGAATTTTTAAAAAATCTTCTTCTTAAGAACCACTGGGCCAGGAAAAATGAAACTCATGTGGAATCATCCTCAAGTAATGTAGATTTAAGTTTGTTCAAATCATGACCCCCGGGGGTAGGGTGGGGCAAAAATGGCCGATCAAAGTTTTACATAGGAATATATAGGAAAAATCTTCTTCTCAAGAACCATTTAGACAGGAAAGATGAAATTCCTGTGGAATCATCTCTAGGTTGTGTAGATTCAAGTTTGTTCAAATCATGACCCCAGGGGGTAGGGTGGGGCCAAAATGGCCGATCAAAGTTTTACATAGGAATATAAAGGAAAAATCTTTAAAAATATTCTTCTCAAGAACCACTGGGCCAGGAAAAATGAAACTCATGTGGAATCATCCTCAGGTAGTGTAGATTCAAGTTTGTTCAAATCATGACCCCAGGGGGTAGGGTGGGGCCAAAATGGCCGATCAAAATTTTACATAGGAATATATAGGAAAAATCTTCTTCTCAAGAACCACTGGGCCAGGAAAGATGAAACTCATGTGGAATCATCTCCAGGTTGTGTAGATTCAAGTTTGTTCAAATCATAACCCTCGGGGGTAGGGTGGGGACCACGGGGCCAAATGGCCGATAAAAGTTTTACATAGAAATATATAGGAAAACCTATTAAAATCTTCTTTTCAAGTACTTCAAAGCTATGCTTAGTTATATTTATAGGGAATCATCCTCAGGTAGTGTAAATTCTAGTTTGCTCAAATCATGACCCACTGGGGGTTAAAATTCAAGCCCCCCCCCCCTGTCAACTTTCAGTTCTGATCTGATATGTGCTTTTTCCTAGCCAATTGCTCAAGTGAGCGATGTGGCCCCTGGGCCTCTTGTTTTATTAAATCTTAGTGCGTCGATATTTTTTTTAAAATATAGACTAAATAAAGAATTTATTATGCAATGTACTTGAATGTGCACAGAGTACGTTTGTACGTTGGCTGTATTATGTATTCAATAACTCAATTATAAAAGATAATGCAGGTGACTATGACGTAAAATAATCCATTGTGATGTTTTGTGGCTTTAAGTGGATAATTATTATCAATTAGAAATTCTCATTAAGATTTTGTAAAATTTATATAATCAAATGTGCCTTTGTCAAAATCAAAAGAATGATAGAATATTTTACCTGCAGTTTGCCACTGAAGGCAAATTTTGATAATGAAAACTGAAAATTAAATAAAAGGGGACTCAGTTGCCATAATTAACAAAGTCCAATGAATTCCTTTAACACTGCATGGTTGCTTCCTTTATGTACAATTTTTAAAACGAGGTAAATTATTGATAAACACGTTTATGAAACTAGAGTATCAGCAGTCTCATTTAAAGTCATAATTTCGTAAGTTCTATGGTCGATACAATGGTTTTGTCAGCAAATATAATTTATCATTAAGTCAAAAGCCATTTAATCGGCGGCGGCTTTTTCCATTATTTCACAAGGAGCACACGTGGTGTGACTGGTCGGCAGATGATGATATCTCGTCCATGGCATCTGATCCCATCTCTGATGGAGGTCTTGTTTGCTCTGCTCCTACATGTATTTTGTATTATTAAATGGACTTTTGAGCTTAAATACTGTTTCTTATCGTTTTACTAACTGTTTGTAAAATGATAATACCTCTGATATTTGTTATCTGATATTTTTCAAATGATTTACAAATTTATTGTGAGTAAAGCTCACTGGAAAAAATTATAGAATAGCATTCAGAATTTATGATGAGGATCTAATTTAATGTCTATGGAAAATGTGTTTCATTTCTTAAATAAACATTAGAAATATCGAAAGTTGAAGTCGAGTCCAATATCCCACAATGCATCAACAAATAAGACGTAAGCGTGATAAAATCGCTATATGTTTTAATTTACATATGCTGTGTTTTTCTAATGAGCCAACTGTGAAACTGATTTGAATACTATTGTCGTTTATACTTTTGCGTAGAAATATACACAGAGAAACGTGTGTTAATGTAACACAAAGCTCGCTTTATGAAATATGCCTAATTTACAAGTATGTGTGCTTTACATGTACACACAAATAACTCACACACAACCTAAAACATTCCTTTATTATAAAGCAATATAATTTGTCCGAAAATTACACAACCATTCGTAATTTTATTTATAATATAATTTCTGTACTTTAATGTCTTTAATTGTGTCATATAACATATGAAAACGCATCCTCTTACGTGCCAACATTTTCTGGCTAGTTATATTTTCCGGCTGAACCTACTTCCCCTTTCAAATACAATTGGTAACAGTAAATGTTCCTTCCATTTCTATCAGAAAAGTCATATAAAATGTTATTGTATATGCATTTAATTCTTTAATGAAACTGTTAATTGACATATCACTGTGCCATATATTCATTATCATTAACAATATTTTATGTTATCATTCCTTTGTAGAGGAATAGTTTTCAGGAACTATTTGTGTCTTCTAGTCATCATTTGTGAAGAGCCAAACTCTGTGCCATATACTATAACTCTGGCCCAAGGATTGCGCCAATCACGTGACCCATAAACTCCATTTAAATAGGCGTTATGGCAGTCCCTGAACCACCATCCTCCCTCTGTGTACAGACTGAAACAACCAGGTGAGCCATGGGTAGAATGATCCGGGGTCTTGAACGTTTGGTTATTTTGTGGCGAGATTAACATATCTCCTGCAACCAGATAAAAAAAATATTTTTAATAAAAAAAAATTCAAAGGCAAGAATGATTACATTATTTTCTTTTGAGAGGAAACCTTTCGAGAAAATTAAGGTGTAGATTCGCTTATTATGTACTATTTTTATAATAACTTATAATATAATATAATTAATTAAAAAAAATAAAGTTGCATGAAATGTGATTATATAATAATACCTCTTTGAGCCAAAATAAATATGTAATAATAATCTAATTTAAATAAAATTTTATCTAGCGCCTTATCTTATGTGAACTCTAAAGCGCTTGACATACTAGATAAAACAATCTAAAAAATAAAAGAAAGGTTAAAACACAATCTAGCATAAGTCTATAAACAATTAATAAAATCTGAAAAAAGTCGTATGGTAAAACAGGCCATGTATATATAAATATCTCATTTCAAAGAAAAAAGGGAATACATTTACATAATGTATTTATTTTGTAATATTTAAAACATGTTTTTCCATGTAGTGTCTTCAGAAAGAGAGTTTATCTACGATGCATTTGTCTAAAATGCTTGATAAATACCATATACAATATAATTTTCTGTTTTCTTTAAAGACAATATCACGATTACTTTCTAATTAAAAATCCAGTTTTCATTATTCTACATCCTTCCTGTTGTCGGCTGATATTCAAAAAGACTGAGCGAGTGCGACAAGAAATTGGATGCTTCCCAAACTACTCTGTATTGTGTGATACAAAAATGTAGAAAGAAGATGAATTCAGTGAAAAAAATGCAAGCCAGTGTAATTTTAAAATTACTATTCACATTAAAAAAGAACTGGTTATTATACCCCCGCTTCAAAGGAGAAGGGGGATACTGTTTTACCCGTGTGGGTCCATCCGTCTGTCTAGCTGTACGTCCGTCCATAACAATTTATCTCAGCAACTAATCAACGCAGATGCTTGAAATTTTAATACAATCTTCTCTAAGGCATGCCATATGATAGGATACATTTTTGGCAAAATCGTATCAACTTCCTGTTTGTCTGTGCATCTGTCTGTTTCATACATAACAACTTTTCGTCGCAGTTTTCTCAGCTACTCATCGTATATGCATGAAATTTTAACACAATCTTCTCTGAGGCAAGCCATATAACGGGTTTTATTTTTGTTCTAATCCAATTTCTGAACTTCCTGTTTGCCAGTGCAATTCTGTCCCTTTCATAAATTAACAAAATTTCATCGCAGTTTTCTAAGCAAACACTCATAAAAGAAATTTGTGTACATACTTTGTTGAGGCAGGCAGTATGGTGAGATATATTTTTCTTTGAATCTGTCAAAGTCCTATTTTTCCATGCATATATTCATTACGTTTATTAACATGATATTGTATATTCACATCGGAGCAGGGGAATTACTAGTGAGCATTGGCTTACGGATTTCTTGTTTGCTCAATAAAAATAACAATAAGTGTACTAATATTGGGTTTTATTTCTAGCACAACCAGTTCTTTCCTTTTGCCAATTTTCTTTCCACTTTTCAATGATTTGTCCTACTTTATCTAGTAAAAAATTGCAATACTGTCTTTTGCAGTTTTTTGATAACTAGTCTTTTACATTAAGCTTAATTTTTTTTCAGAGTAACATTTGAACATTAGTAATCGACCGGAAGTATACAAAGATAATGGTACAGGTACTTTAACAGACATAAAGTAAGAAAAAAGCAATCATTTTCATTCGATTAAAAATAAATTAAAATTATAAAAATATTTTCACTTTTCAACTCTTTAATTTCTTAAAACACATAAGTACATTGATTTCGTTCTCGAGAAATAAGTTTTTCTTTTTTACAACATTGTTCTTGTTTTGTTATCTTACTAAGGTAAAATTATAGGGAAAACCAATTTGATGTGTATGTTTTAGAGATATGTTTAACAACAACATACATTAAAAAATAGTTATAGTAAATAATTTAACTATGAAGAGTCAAATTTTCAGTGTAAGGATAATTTACATGTACGCATAACGGGCATATATGTAGTCACTACACATATTTTCAACATTAATGATGGGTACAGGTGCGTTTGCCTTATCACTCATAAAATAAAATATCTCCCGGTGTTTTCATACATGTTATAAAAAATCCATATACATTCACAGTATATCCAAGTGCAAAGCATTCAGTTCTCTCTGGAAAATTATATTAATTCCATATTTCCTCTATAAATTACAATTTATTCACTCTTCTGAAATCATTGCCCTTTAAGATTCGCTTTTTTATGTTTGCTGTTTAAGGTCTTACTGTCGAATTTTTTTTTAACCTTTTGGAGACGACACCATTGCCATCGGAGAGCGCAAAAACTCTCCCTTTTTTTGGCACTCTGAGAAATTGCACAGCAAGGAATCATTTTATTCCAGAACCTACTGCGATATGTGACCTCATTTCATACAGTCTCATCAAAAGGATCAGTTTCAACGTCCCTTTGTGGGATTCGAACCCGCGAAGTAAGGATCAATTTCTTATTCTGCGACTCTAGATCTGACGCTCTACAACTGCGCCACGTAGTTGACTTAAAAATTCGTATTCTTCATTTAAAAAAAAACCTTTTCAGAATGATATCTTAATCAAAAATGCTTGAAAACGAACTGAAAACTAAAGAATTTTTTGCTTGTTGAATTCAACTTTCAAGTTATTCTTGATTACCTCAAACTACTTTGACCGAATATTAGTTTCAATATGACTATCACCTGCTGTTCCGTTGGAGTAAGATCCCAGATGTAATCTATAGTCATCGTCAGCGCCACTGATCCGGAAGTCCGAGTAATACTGGAAGTAATGGCGTCCATTTTTATGTTGTAATTTGACGTACAGGGAAGAGGAGTTGACGGTTAATGCATGTATTGCATCATTTCCTGAAAAAAGAATATATACGACATTAATGCGATATCTCCCATAAGCAAAAGAAGAGTGAGATTATAAGTGAGCTGTACAATGTTTTATTGCCCCATGGCCTAGTATCCTGTTCTAGAACTGTTGCTTCAAACATAAATATGGAAGCATCATTTTGCGAATTTATTAGGATGTATTTACATTGTACATGTAGGTCATGGATGAAATTACAATATGAAATTCCAATTCAAACACATAAGTAAATTCCAAATATTGGATTTTTTTTTTATTCCTGTTCGATTTTCACAATTCTTCCTTTCAATTTCTATATATAGATTTTCAGAAACCCGGAAAAAATTAAAATGATCAATCAAATGTAATTAGCTATAAGTTTTAGTTTATGAATCAACTTACGTGCAAAGCAATATAATTTTTAATCCTAAAAGTACCGATTAACTTATTCTATAACGGAACATCTCTTTATTCATGTAAAAGGAATATCGACTATTCTTTTCGAATAAAAGAATGTAATTATTCGTGCAGAATAAAAACACCCCACCTCTTTTTTTAGAAAGAGAGAGATAGACAGAGTGTGTGTGAGATGAGGGTTTGTGTGTTAAAGATTGTGAGGGTGTGTGAGGAAGGGTATGTAGGAGAGAGTATTTGTGTGCCTAAGCCATGCAAATGCAAAATTAATCTTTTCATTTACAGCGGCTTTTTAGGGAATCCAAATGTTAAACTTGATACCCGTTTTTGTCCCATCTTAGCCCAAGAATCCAATATTTGAATAAAAATTAAAATCATATTAAATATATCCCTATGTAAAATGTAGCTCTCCTGTTGATTTCTATTTTTGAGTAAACTTAACAAATTGAAATTGCTTAAATATCGATGTTTGGTCCTGCTGACTTTCATAAAAATGTCTTAAAGATGTTTTTCTACATATCCTAATGTAAAATCAAGATCTCTTAATACGACCCAATTCTACCTACTGAGGACAAGAATTTGAAAAATTTTAAAAATGTTCTACCTTATTGTGCTTTGGGGAAAAGTCGAAAAAGTAAAAAAAAATTAACTTATACAGGCCACGGATGACAGCTGATAAGATTCAGTTTGTCTAAGATAGAACTTAGAAGTGATAATACTTTTAAGGAATTAAATGCTTTGATAGACTATTTAAGGACCCTCTCTACACAAGTGAAAAAAACTTTTTTTGACTTAGGGAAAATTATATTGAATAAAGGTGTATATATATTGAGTTTATCTATTTACTGATGAATCCTTAATTTCGGCACTTGAGAAAATACATATGAATAAAATGTACATTTGTATTGGCCTTCAAAAATGTTAAGAAAACCTGAATTGATTTCAAACTGAGAAGTATATTGTAAATATATATTTTTTGAAATTACGATTCAGCGTCAGATCACGCTTATTGTAGAAACAATGTAATAGAATCGAAACTCTTTAGTGTAGTGTAGAAAGGGTTCTTAAAAAAGCAGAGAAAGGAGTTACTACCAGAGGCATGGTTTCTGCGAAAAAAAGAGTCCAAGACATAATGTGTTCTGAACGTGCCGAGTGCCCTTAGATGTCTCCACATGTTAATAAAAAAAACTATGGAGCTTTTTTCACCTAGACCCTTCAATGGACTTCATATTGGGATTGCCTTCTTTATTGGGGGGGGGGTGTTGTTCAAGGCCTCCTAAAGACGATATAAAAAAGAATCAATGAAATATTTCAGAGATAATAAAGTATAAATAAGATGTTTCAAAGGAGTTAGTAAGAAAAATTTTATTGTATCTTTCATTTACGTGACGTCAGTGCACAAATTTGTACATTTAAAACAAACTTTCTCAGAGTGTGTTTGAATGACCAATGACCTTGTTAACAAATACAATTTGTCATTAAGTCAAATGTTGACTGATGTTTTTATGCCCCCTTAATTAAAGATTAGGTGGTATTTGGTTTTTGCCCTGTCCTTCCGTCTGTCCGCCAGTCTGTCTAGCTGTCTGTTAATGTGTTTGTCTGCAAAAACTTAAACCACATCCATACTTTTTGAGTAGGTGGAGCTAAAGCTGTTATTATATTTTACAGGTTTATTCTTTGTGACAAGATCTTTTGTATGGTACCACTAAATTAGACTACGTGACCTTAACCGTGATTTCGAAGATTGACCCATTCTACCAAATATTTCCCAATTTAATAATAGCAATAACATTTAATAGTTTATGCTAGGGATTTCATACTACATGTAATATGTGTACATGTATTCATTGAGACAAGACTTGTCATTGGGTAAAAATAGTTGACCTTTTGATCTTGACCTTGAGATTTCGGGCCACTTATAAAAAAACTTTAACATTAACCATGATTTTTTAACCATTAGTAATAGAGCTTTCATATTTCACAGGTGTATTGCTTGTTACAAGACCTTTACCTGGATAACAACAATTTTGACCTTGAATTGGAGTATGACTTGATTTAAAAAGTTTAACTTTGACCATAACTTTTGAACCGTTAGTACTAAGTCTCGTTTCACAGATGTATTCTGAGTGAGAAGACGTTCCTTGAGTAAAACATTTTTGATTTTTTGACCTTAAATTTGATAATTACTGGAATTTTACGAGAAGCGCTGACTTTTACAGTTGACGGCTTTCTTGTACACTGGGACAATGTATGGAAGCTCTTTTACGATATAAATATTTAGCTCGACGTTTAATTCCATGAAAATAACGGATTTTTAAAGTAGAAAAAAATGTATAATTTGTCTTTGAAGGAAACAACGGCCACCCTACCCTAAACTCCCGGCCTAAGTGCCCCTAACACCATACCTGTGACCATTTCAAAGTCTTTGTTATCCATTATCAATTCTGTACCTCCGTATATGACAAATGTTTAAGTGTCCATGTTAACCGTCAACTGTAAAAGTCAGTGCTTCTCGTAAAAATCCTTTAGAAACTTCTGTTTGACAAACCTCACCATAAGCTATCATAAAGGGGCATGGGTGTTTAAGAAACCGATCTTGCACATACTTATTGCTAGGCCCTTATATACACACTGAATTGTCGACGGATATTTATGCTAATTCCCAATAATGACAAGGAGCACACGGTGGTTACATGTATGACCGGTCAGAAAGGGATGACAACTACTCCGTGGTACCTGATCCCACCTCTGATGTTTTAGAAGTTTGCATTTTCTCTGCTTCAATTTTGTATTGTTTGATGGACTTTTGAGCTTGAATACTGTTAGGTATCTCCACATATTTCATTTCAAGGATAAATAATATATTTCGTAAAATATAATTTATGTTTTATTGATTTTACACATTCAAATGTCTTTTTGAAAACTACAGTTTCAGTCAGTCGATTTTTAAGGATGTTAAACCCTCGTTCAAATATTTTGTCTTTAATCGAAGGATTAAAAGGAAAACAAATTACCTAACCAATATTCAGTGGAGGCATTTCCAAATCCTTGCTGATATTCCGCCCAGTTTCTAGAGAAAGACACAGATCCATCCATCCGCTTTTGAAAGACCTAAAAAGTAATTATGTTAATTTTCAAATGATACTCTCTCCACTTTAAGTAATACAGAAGTTACATGTAACTTCTTAAAATTGTTTTTTTTCTTGTATTGCAACACTGAATGTTGTTCTCTTCTTTTATATAATTTGAATAAAACAGGGGCGTAGCAACGGGCGGGCGGGGGTTTTGGGGGCTGGCCCCCTACTTTTTTTCCCAACCTAACTTATACTATAGGAAATGTGAATTGAAAGCCTGGTTCGCCCCCCCCCCCCCCCCCCCCACCTTCAGACTTTTAGTGATGTTCCGAAATGAAGTTTTAGGATTGGTACTAAAAGTAGTTGACACTGAGAAAAAGTTTACCCCTACCCCTCCCCCCCCCCCCCCCCCTAATAGGATTTGCGACTTTGGGCCAATTTTTTTTGCTTGTCAACTTTTTCAGGTAAGTAAAAAATTTTTTTTTCTCTGGCTGCTCCCCCTTTCAAAAACGATGCTACGCCACTATAAAATGCATTTATACTGTATCTATCACGTCTTGAAGTCCATTACTATCGATGATTAGTGTTTTCTCATGATGAGGTAATATGTTCATATACCAATAAACGTCACTTTACTGAACTTTTTAGTAAGTACTAAACTTCAGCTAAATTGTATAATAGAACACATCAATAAAGTTTACCTATTTAAATGGTCTTTGTTACATTTTATTGCTTGAATGATATTTATGAATTTTTTTTTTATACAAAATTATTAAATTTATACATACGGTCCACCCGCCTCCCATGGTGTCCATATCACAGAAAACTTCTTTATATGTAGAGTTGTTCCACGGATAGATCTTATAGATACCAGACGTCTTTTTCCCTTGGACCATAATTTCCAAACAGTCGACAGGATACAAAACTGCATTTTATTAAATGTGAAAGATTTATTATAGAACATTGCAAAACTAGATGCTGTCATGAGACAGTAATACCCGCACTAAGGTGTTTGCCTCTAAATACACAATCCTACGGGCGGCTTACCAAGGAAAAAGTCAAAATAATTCTATATAATTCAGGCACGTAGCATCGTTTTTGAAAGTGGGGGGGGGGGGGCAACCTGAGAAAATTTTTTTTAATAACCAAAAAAAATTAACAAGGAAAAAAAATTAAATGGGGGGGGGGGGGGGGGGAGGTGGCCACTTTTTTTTCAAGGCAAAATTACTTTCACTTCCAATTTTTCCCATATTTCCTTGCAATGTATATACTGTGGTTAAAAGTGGGGGGAGGGGGCAACCATCTTTTTAATGGACATTTTCTTATAGTACAGGTAATGTTGGGAAAAAAAGGGGGGCAGCCCCCCCAAGCCCCCCCCCCCCCCCGGTTGCTACGTGCCTGTAATTCACATATGTATTCATAAAATTGGGTATGAAATTATCCCTGTGACCTATAACTCAGAACCTCTTATATTTATTTTACATGCTTAATTCATTATATACCAGTTTGAATTCTATTAATAAAGTAAATTAGATTTTGATAAATGTTTTGCTCATATTAGGACCTTTTTAAATTTACTAATCCCCCCCCCCCCCCCCCCCCCCCCCTCTCGACACCACAATCACACAGTACATACTTTTGGGAATAGGCTAGACGGAACAGTTTTGTTAAAACAGTGTTTGTTATGAATTAATTTAAAATTTGTTCTTGACATGTAAATTCTACATCACATCACGTTGCGTCACCCATTATCATATTTTTAGATTAAACTCCATTCGGTACACCTCGGCCGATTCCCACTTCATCTGATAAGGTGACGGAATCGACGGCACGGAGGTTTTCCGAATGGAATATCATTATAACATGCTGCAGAATGGTGTGCTTTGGATTAATTCATTTTGTGTTATAATTGGATTTATATTTCATGAAGTTTACAGGACCTATGGAGGTCGGTAAGTACAAGTTTAAGTATAGTGGGGGTAAAATAAACCCAAACGATTAGGTTAAAGTTCAAAAAGGGTCAAAGATCATCGCATGCCACACTAGACGAATTTCATATTGTAAAGTTATCTCCCCTTGTCGATGTGACATTCAGTTACTGCCAATACTGGTGCGGATCCAGAATTTTTTTCGGGAGTAGGGAGGGGGGTTCACATCTCAGTCAAAATATTCATGCCTAGAATTTCCTGACAAGCAGGAGAAAAAAATCATACACTGAAAACAAATAAACAAAAAAAACCCCAATGTTTTCTTAGTTAGGGGGAGGATGTCCAAAATCATTTTTTATTTGCTTCAGTATATAGTCTTGTTTAAATAACAAAGGAAATTCCAGGGGGGGGGGTTCCAATCTCCCTACCCACTCCCTATCCCTGAAATAACAATCTATTTTGTGATTCCAATTAAATAGTATATTTTTTTTCCATTTGACTAATTATGTACATATTTTGTTTCTTGTGTTTATATTATGTCTGTATATTTGTCTGCAGAAATTATAACCTTGCCCATAAGTTTTAAGTGGGATGGGCTATACAATTGGCTTCCACATTTTATAGGTTTATTTCTTGTGACAATTAAGACCTTTTATTTGGGTACCATTAATTTTTACCTCTGATCACTTGACCTAGAATACATATTTTTACAAGAAAAATACCCAACTTTAAACTTGGCCTAAATTTTGATCAGTAGGTGCTAGGGCTTTCATGCTTAACATGTGTATTCATTGTGAACTGTCAACAGGTATAAATATGTTTGACCTTGACCGTAGAGTTTGAACCACTTAAAAAATTAACCTTGGCAATTAACTTTTGAAGAGGAAGTACTAGGGATTACTTATTTCACATGTGCATTCCTTTGACAAGACTTTTTTCTGATACCAACAATTGAACCTTTTGACCTTGACCTTTGAGTTTGACATATATTTGAGAAACTTCAACCTTCGCCATAGGCTACCAGACAGGGACATCAGTGTTTCACAAACACATCTTGTCTTCATTATTATTTGGTGGTGTCTCCATATGACGGAAAAATTCCAATGAGATATGTATTCACAACAAACAAACAAATTACTAAAGAAAATATAAAACATGAATATGTTGGTCATGCATATCTCTGCATGAAAAAAACCCCAGCTTTTCAAGTACTGCAACCATATTGTAACCCTTTCAAAACACTCATTTGAGCTTTTCTGGTTTCCTTGTCATATAACGTCTGTTGTGACATGTTGTCCATCTGTTTGTCTGAAAACTTTTTACATTTTTAACTTTTCTAGAACCACTGGTCCAATTTTACCCATGCAATTCATATAGAAATATGTACATTTGTATGTCAGACTGTTCTTCTGTCTGAATAAAATTAACCTTGGTTATCACGGTCATATCTACTGAATGAGAAGAGACAAGGCATTCATATTAAACTTATGTACTAGTATTTACCTGTGAGAATGGCATGGGTTTTTTTTTTTTACATATGACCTAGAAGTTTGACCTACTTGCAAAAAAATTAAATTGTTATAAATTCATCATTTTGAAAGAGAAAAGTTAGGGCATTCATATTATAATGCATGTATATTATTACCTGTGATAAGATCTTTCCAAATGAATCATGACTTTTACTCTGTGACCTTGACCTTGAAGCCTAACCTACTTTTCAAAAATGTTGCATTTGCTTATAACTTTTGATTGAGATGAGATATGACTCTCACATTTGACATTTGTACATTAATTACTCATAAAAATTCAAGATGTTTCCCAGCTTGCAATGTTTTTCTACTCTTTAACGTTAATGTTTTATATAATTTTCAAGATATTTAATTCTCCTAAAAGATGATTAGGCTTCTGAGTAACATTAAGGAGGACTTCAGGAAAGACAGGACTTTTTGCACAAAAAATGTAATTTTCCACCCCCATTTGACCTCCCAGGGCAATATCAAAATTCCAAAACCTTGCTGCACATCTACATGACACTACCAACCATCTCCCTAAAGATGATTAGGCTACTGTGTAAAATGTAAGAGAATTTCAGGGAAGACGGGGCTTTTTGCATAAAAACGTCATTTTTTTACCCCTATTTGACCCCCCGGGGCAAAATCAAAATTCGGAAACCTTACTGCACATCTACATGAAACCACCAACCATCTCCCAAAAGATGATTAGCCTACTGTGTAAAATGTAAGAGGAGTTCAGGGAAGACGGGGCTTTTTGCATAAAAAACGTCATTTTACGACCCCAATTTGACCCCCCGGGGCAAAATCAAAATTCCGAAACCTTACTGCACATCTACATGACACCACCAACCATCTCCCAAAAGATGATTAGCCTACTGTGTAAAATGTAAGAGGAGTTCAGGGAAGACGGGGCTTTTTGCATAAAAAACCTCATTTTTCGACCCCCATTTGACCCCCCGGGGCAATATCAAAATTCAGAAACCTTACTGCACATCTACATGACACCACCAACCATCTCCCAAAAGATGATTAGCCTACTGTGTAAAATGTAAGAGGAGTTCAGGGAAGACGGGGCTTTTTGCATAAAAAACCTCATTTTTCGACCCCCATTTGACCCCCTGGGGCAATATCAAAATTCCAAAACCTTACTGCACATCTACATGACACCACCAACCATCTCCCAAAAGATGATTAGCCTACTGTGTAAAATGTAAGAGGAGTTCAGGGAAGACGGGGCTTTTTGCATAAAAAACGTCATTTTTGACCCCCATTTGACCCCCCGGGGCAAAATCAAAATTCCAAAACCTTACTGCACATCTACCTGACACCACCAACCATCTCCCAAAAGATGATTAGCCTACTGTGTAAAATGTAAGAGGAGTTCAGGGAAGACGGGGCTTTTTGCATAAAAAACGTCATTTTTCGACCCCCATTTGACCCCCCGGGGCAATATCAAAATTCCAAAACCTTACTGCACATCTACATGACACCACCAACCATCTCCCAAAAGATGATTAGCCTACTGTGTAAAATGTAGGAGGAGTTCAGGGAAGACGGGGCTTTTTGCATAAAAAACGTCATTTTTCGACCCCCATTTGACCCCCCGGGGCAAAATTAAAATTCCAAAACCTTACTGCACATCTACATGACACCACCAACCATCTCCCAAAAGATGATTAGCCTACTGTGTAAAATGTAAGAGGAGTTCAGGGAAGACGAGGCTTTTTGCATAAAAAACGTCATTTTTCGACCCCCATTTGACCCCCCAAGGCAAAATCGAAATTCCGCAACCTTACTGCACATCTACATGACACCACCAACCATCTCCCAAAAGATGATTAGCCTACTGTGTAAAATGTAAGAGGAGTTTAGGGAAGAAAAGTGTGACAGACGGACGGACGGACGGACGGACATGAGTAACAACAATATACCCGAACTTTCTTTAGAAAGTGCGGGTATAATTAAACATATGAAGTAACATTATACATCTAATAACATTAAAAGGAATATGGACATGGCTCATCTGAGTTACATGTATATAAGGCGCCGTTTTGGTATTTACTGCCAAAAAGTGATATCACCTATTCGAATAGGTGATATCACCTATTCGAATTGGTGATATCACCTATTCATTTTCAATAGGTGATATCACCTATTCGAATAGGTGATATCACTTATTCGAATAGGTAATATCACCTATTCGAATAGGTGATAGGTGATAAAAGGACCATATAAATGCTATTTAATTTTTTATTATGTTTTCTTTAAAAAACATCAGTAAATAACAACTTATTTAACTTATTAACAAGAACTATTTTCCTACTGTGTGCCTTCCATGCATTCCAACAATTGAAATGCACATTCATCATTTATAAGTAAGTTCTGCATAAAAATTGCTAACTGTACAGAATGTTTGCACATTTGTTTCAACGAATAATCTTTTCTTAAAAATTCTCAAGGATATCAAGACAAATATTGCATGC